ACACCAGCGACGGAGCCGCCAGCGACGGAGCCGCCAGCGACGGAGCCGCCAGCGACGGAGCCGCCAGCGACGGAGCCGCCAGCGACGGAGCCGCCAGCGACGGAGCCGCCAGCGACGGAGCCGCCAGCGACGGAGCCGCCAGCGACGGAGCCGCCAGCGACGGAGCCGCCAGCGACGGAGCCGCCAGCGACGGAGCCGCCAGCGACGGAGCCGCCAGCCACAAGAGTGGGCAACGGGCGATGACTCATCACACGATCGATCGATCACACTACTAATTTGTATGAAATTTTGGAATGTGGCACTTCGCTCGGCGACATAATAACTAGTCTTTTACATAATTAAGCTTAAGGTAAATTAGCGATCAGGACCTCTAAGTCTTTTCATAGTTTTAAGACACAATGAGGAGTTTGAACTATATCAAAATACTTTTGTACGTATGAACTTCTAGAGTTTTTAACCACCATCCCTTTGAAATCCGAGTTAGCCTTCCAAACGTTCAATTCGTTTCCCAACAATGTGTACTATGAAAGCTCTCATCTGTAGTTACATTTTGTCTATTGGTAAAGTCAAAAATCAGAACGCCGGGTTAATCTCCCCCCTGCCAACCGATATCGATCGTGTGATGAGTCATCGCCCGTTGCCCACTCTTGTGGCTGGCGGCTCCGTCGCTGGCGGCTCCGTCGCTGGCGGCTCCGTCGCTGGCGGCTCCGTCGCTGGCGGCTCCGTCGCTGGCGGCTCCGTCGCTGGTGTCCAGCGACGCAATCGCCGAGTCTGACCGAGGTTGATGGCTGATATCTTCTGTAAGCTCTCCACGAGGTTGTTAAGTAGACTTTATTGGCTTACGTTTCGGCGGGGTCGCCTTCTTCAGAGCCTGAAAGGATCGAAGCAATTTATGACTACCCGACCAAACGCCTCTGGAGCTGAGCCTTATATTAACGGATGGCCTTCCCAGTAACTCTAATCAAGTTAGTCGGATGCGGTGTGTGCCCACTCTGGTTTCGCGGTGGCTCGAGGACCGATTGGTTAGGGAGAAATGGTATTGCGTGATGACCTGCTTTGTTCTCGAATTTCAGTAGGATAGTGGAGGCGTTTGGTCGGGTAGTCATAAATTGCTTCGATCCTTTCAGGCTCTGAAGAAGGCGACCCCGCCGAAACGTAAGCCAATAAAGTCTACTTAACAACCTCGTGGAGAGCTTACAGAAGATATCAGCCATCAACATTACAAAACACAAAGGGCCTTAGCTGCTTCTAGACCTAAGACAAAAAGGTGCTAACTTAGTTGGGGGGGGGGGCACGCGGCGGCGCGGCAGTCTGCTCACCTGGGCTCTCTCGAGCGAGACAGTGTAAACTCGAACATTCCAGCTTTTCACGCATGTCAAGTGACTGCCCCCCCCAACCCCCTAGACTGCCTACACTCCCCCCTGCCCACGGATTTCCGAACATGCCAGGCGAGCAGACTGCCGCGCCGCCGCGTGCCCCCCCAACTAAGTTAGCACCACAAAAAATCCATGACAGGAAAAAGCAACCAATCGGCATCGATCCCTGGGGCCGAACCAATCAGGCATCACGAGACGATTTACCAACGAATTTTAATGAATCGTTACGATACGGTATGGCTAATAGCAGTACAAAGGAATTGACTGGAAAACGTCTTCATACTGAGCTGTGACAGTGCATCACCTCACATTGCCCGTGAGTGGCAATGCAATTGATTGGGCAAGTGCGCTCCATTTCTATTTTGTGAAGTCCTTTAAAACGCGGGAGTTCAAACTGCTGGCATTGCGCCAGTTTTTTTTTAACAAACACAGTTCGCGATTTTGCTCTTCCCATCAAACCTTTGTAAGTCATGTTTTCCTATTTCTGTTCTAATCCAATCTAGGTGCCTTGAAATTTTTTCCTCCGTCATTTCGCGTTATGTTAGCCTTGGGCATCTTCTTAGCTTGACCTCGACCTCGCTTCATTTCTTCGTTTGATCGTGAGTTGATAAAAATTGAATGCTTAATCTTTGGTTCAATAATGCGCGTTCCTCGCCGCTGAAGCGCAGGAGATGTAGCGCGAAAGAAATCCATGGTTTCAGAAGCACTACGGCATTACCATTTTGATACATGCTAATGTGTTGGAATGAAAATAGTTCGTAAAAATCGGTAGTTCTAGAGCAATCTGAAAGCATGTCCTTATTCTTTAGCAAACATGACTTCACATCATTCGATGGCTGCGGCGCGTGATTCCGCTAGCCTCCCCCCCCCGGCGGTCTACGATCATACTTAGATTCGGTCATTTGTCCCTCGGCCTAAATTTGATGGTCTACGGGCTACTAGAAGTGTAAAGGGTGGAGCTCTTCACGCATCTGCCAATAGAACTGGATACGTCTTGACACGTCGCTAAACCTACGCGGGAAAGCTTCTATGCGAGTTTTTGAGCAAGTTTTTTTCGCGATGCGCCATTGAGTTTACACCAACTCCACTTAATTCGTCTTGGAAGGGGTGGTCTTTTCAACGTTCATCGGTATATGTGGAAGAGTATCCGAAGATGAAAGGGATGGAATACTGCAAGAGAAGGCAGCTGAGGAACGAGTACTTGAACCAAAAATATTGACAGTGACGGAAGCTGAGCATGCCAGTTCCCAGGATTAACCTCAGAAAGTGAACTTCTCAAAAGGGCGATGTAACGCGTATCACTTGCATCGCTAGATTTCTTGCTTGTCGCTCAATGGCAGTAGTTCACTGAACCATATCCACAAGGGAGAGTATGAGGTTAACGGATATTATTTGATGCAAAGCTTGCAACGTGTGCTTATGGTAGCGGAATCAAGTACTGCTGTCACACTTTACCAATAACTAGAGCCAAAACAAATACGCATCATCGCCCCAAAGTATTAGACACTCGACCAATATTGTGTTCGGTGAAATAATTTCTGGTATTTCCCTCGTTTACTCCTGTACTTTTTTACTCTTGTTACTTCTAACACCAGAGGGGGTAAACTAAAGCTATGGGTTCCGATGAGCAGCACTTATATCAGGTCAAGTTATTTCTCTATCAGAGTGCTCGCGGACTTCAACAAGTTGCTTGAAGGTGATATTTTCAAGCTTTCGCTGCCTGCTTTCAAGAGAATGATTCACAAATAAGCCAGTTGGGGGTTTCCGGAGTTCTTTTTTCTCTCTTTGTTTCTGTTTTATTTTAGTTGTAATGTAAGCTTTTCGCCTTACACTCTTATTCAGTTCGTTTGCAATTTTATCAAGTGTTGTTTTGTTCTATTGGGCTTTGTTGTATGCTCTCGCGCGGACCCACTTTCGCGTCTCCAAAATAAAATAAAAAAAAATAAAATATTGACAGATGCGAAGCTGAGCATGCCAGTTCAGGATTAACCTCAGAAAGTGAACTTCTCAAAAGGGCGATGTAACGCGTATCACTTGCATCGCTAGATTTCTTGCTTGTCGCTCAATGGCAGTAGTTCACTGAACCATATCCACAAGGGAGAATTTAAGGTTGGATGTTATTTGTGCAAGGCTTTGAACGTTTTAGTGGTTAAGCGGACTCAGTACTGCTGTCAATTTACCCATAACCTAGAGCCAAAAGCAAATATGCATTCGTCGAAAAGTATTAGAACTCGACCATTATTGTGTTAGGTGAAGTAATTTTTGGTTTTCCCTCGTTTACTCTTGTTCCTTTATTTTCTTCTCTTTCTCTTTCCATGTTCACCATCGATTGTGGAATGTTGCCAAATGACATTAGATGGCCAGAAGTTAAAATGGCCCACAAGAACTGATCTCATATACCAGAGTTCTCTGAGGGATTCCATTAGGCTTCGCTTTCTGTATTTTGTGTATACATCACAGCTGTTTAACACGTAGTATACATCTTTATTCATCAAAATTGAGTCGACACCTGCTACTGCGTCTCAAGAAAACCTGTATACTGCGGAAAAGAATTCGAACCTGGAGTGCCGACAAGTTATGGAAAACGGGAACAAGCAACACATGGTCGACAATAAATAAAGAGTGAAGTGAGACCGATGACAGATGGCTCAACCTTCGATCGTCACTATCTCGACGTTGGTAATAAAGAAATACGAAGTTATTACGATCGCGTCTATTTCTCTTCAGTCTGAACCGATTAATTACAGGCCGAAGAAAAGGGAGAAAATCAGTGCTTATGAGCAGGCCAAAAAGGTGTACGAGCGGATACAGCAACAAAAGGCTCAGGAGAAAGTTGCCCGCCAGCTGGAACGAGAGAAGAGACAAGCAGCCTTGGAAAAGTATGTTCGTTCCAAGAAAGAAATGAACAAAGCCTTACGAAAATGCAACAAGAAAGGTCAACCAAACCTTGGTGCGCAAATGGAGGTATTATTAAAGAAAATCGAAAGGAATGTACAGAAAGAGTAGCGGTGGAGATTTTATTATTTGTTGCGTTCTGAATATTGTTACGTTGAAGTATTTGAATACGCTATAGATTTATTAATAGCAGTATTTGTGTAAAAACTCCCGCAATTTATGTGAGCTAAAAAGAGGAGCTTCCATGTGATTATGACTCAGTTGTTGTTGTTTTTTGTTACATGTGAAACACAGAGAGTAAATAAATATTTCATTTTCGCTTGAATTTGTGGTCGAAATGGCGAATGATCCACCTGCGTTCTTCAAATCTTTTGTGTAATCAGATCATTTACTGTTTGAAGCAGTATTTCTCGGATTTACCTTCGCATAAGGTAAATTCGTTTTATAGATGAAGTGTTTGATCTAGATTCTTATCACCGTGTAGCTGAGCTTCGGAGATGTCGGAGGGACAGAGGCGGCCACCTCCTGGTAAATCCTTTCCATTTTTGCGACGAGGAGAAGGCCAGAAAGCAAAGGTGAGATTAAGCAAAAATGTGTAAGCTGGGAATGAATTACACTCGTTATCCGAGCGTTGGAGTAGGCGTGTCACCAGAAAAGATCTGGACTTGATAGAAGTGGATAAGCTGCTTCCAACCTAAAACGCTGACAAGGCATGCTGGCAACAGCTTATCCACGTAACTTATTTGAAGTGCACGTCTTTCCTGGTGACACGCCTACTTCAACTCCCGGATATCGACTGTATATGTAAACTATTCGTTTAGTTTGTCCATTTGCGTAATTTGGACGAAGCATGACACCATTTCAGATAGAATATCCAGTCCTTAAGAGATCGTCAAGCAAATCACGACCACAACCACAACGCAATTGTAAGTCACTTACTCATAAGGATTTGTAAAAATTCCATACACTCAGTCGATCGCGATATATTGAGGTTGAAAATTTGAACCCTGATTCAGTAGTGCGAGGTATTCGTAGCAAACAGTCGTTTTCCGGTAGGTCTTCTTCTTCTCCCTAGCGTTAGTCCCGCGCAGTCGCAGGGTCCGCTGTCTTTGTCAGTCGTCGCCACTTCGCTCTGTCTAGGGCATCTTCTGCTGTGGCCGTGATTTCACTTAGGTCCTTCTTGATTACGTCCTTCCACCTCTTCTTTGGGGCTCCTCGCGGTCGCTTGCCTTGCGCGACAAAGTCCATCGCATTCTTATCGGGTGGCCTTGTGGTCTTCAAAGCACATGTTCATACCACCGCTATCACTGCTCCCTCACACCTTCAGCTGGACAAGGGCAGTCTGCATGACCGCTCTGACATCCTCGTTCCTGACCCTATCCAGTCGCGTCCAGCCGCAGGCCCATCTCAGCATCCTCATTTCGGCGGAGTGAAGCTGCCTTTCGATTCTTGTTCAGGGGCCAGCACTCGCTGCCGTAGAGCATCGCAGGCCTTACCACTGTCCGGTACACCTTCCCTTTGAGCGCTCTGGAGCACCTTCGATCGCAGAGGATTCCAGTGGTCTCCCTCCATTTCATCCATGCAGCGTTGACCCGAGCCTTCACTGCCTGATCCACACCACCGTCGGCTGCCAGATCGCTCCAAGGTATTGAAGGCCATCACCCTTTCGATGCTTTCACCATACCCGTCCACGATAGGTTCTGTGTCCTCTTTGAAACTCTCAGCAACATGGTCTTCTTGATGATATTCAGCCGGAGACCACCTTCTTCCAGCACTTCCATCTCTGCACCTTATCCTGGAGTTGTTCTCAGTTGTCCGCTATCAGGGCGATATCGTCATAGAGGACGGTCTTCAGTCTCCATGGGCCCCCTCACCAAGACATCTAGTGTTAAAGGGAAGAGAAACGGGCTCCGACCGCTGACCCTTGATGCATCCAAACCGTGATGTTTACTTCTTTTGTAGTCGCTGTGGGGTGCGCAATTTTTTTTGGTTGCCTTAGCCCCGTCATACATGTCCTTCCAGCGAGGCCAGGTATTCTGTCAAGTTCATCCTTAAAGCCCTCTCCATGGTACCGCTCGCGGTAACCGGTCGAACGGCTTCTCAAGGTCGAGGGAGGGTAGGTAGCAGGGTCGGCGCTTTTCTCGATACTTCTCCATCACTCGCCTTGCGATGAAGATGGCATCCGTCCTAGACCATTCGGGCATGAACCCGAATTGTTCTCCGGGGTGGGGACCAGCTCCCGCAGCTTCGAGTCGACCAGTCGCTCGTACAGTTCCATTGTATGAGCAGTATTATAACTTATTCCGCGTTAGTTGTAGCAGTCCATCGCGTCATCCTTCTGTTTGAAGATGCGGGCGATAGTATTGTAGCTCCGAATATATCAGCATCTACTTCCGCAGTTACTTTGTTGAGGAGTCATGTGAGTTCATACTCACCGGTTGCCCTCCATGCCTCGATTGGCATCCCATCTGGACCAGCAGCCTTCCCAACCTTCATCTTTGCTACTTCTCTACTATCCTCCTCCTCTGTCCATGGTTGGGTCGCTCGGGAGTGTTCTGTAATCCCCTCCTACCTCCTCTCAACTTCGGCTGGCTGCCTCAGTTTGGCGCCGGTTGCATGCCTTGTTCACATTCTTCACACCCTATATCTCAGAGTATGAATCGCCCAAAAACGCCAGCGTTAAACTTTCCATACAGGGCGCTCATTTCAGGGTTCTTTGCATTGGTGACGGCAGTCTTCGCAAGCCTCTTGCAGGTTTTGTAGGCAGCAAGGACCTTGGGCTCGTGGATTTCAGCGTGTATGCTTCCTTCTTCTGCTTCACGACTCGCTGGACTTCCTCGTTCCAGAACCACGCTGCCTTGTCTTCCCTGATTCCCCTCGAGTCTTTCAGTATCTCCTTGGCACATCGCAGAATGGTCTCGGCCGCGTTGCTCCATGTCCGCTGCATTTGGTAGACCGATTTTCACTATCCCTCGCTTGAGGTCATCCTTCTCCGCTTGGTGCAATTCTTCCACCACCGGACCCTCCTCTCAGTTCTTACCTGTGACCATGGCAGGTAAGGGAAGGTCCATGGCAATGTCTGCCAGGAGGGGCCTGTGCTGTGGAGCCAGATCTTCGCCAGGGAGTACCTTGATGTCCTTCACAGTTTTGAGGGATGATCTTCTTACCAGCACATGGTCGATTTCCGTCTGTCTCCCTCCACTGCTGTAGGTTACCTTCTGAGTCTCCCTTTTCGCGAAGAACGTGCTGCAGATTGCCAGATCGTGGGCCGTAGCCAGGTCCAGAACCCTCTCTCCTTAGCGTTCCTCGTTCCTATCCCTCTACCATCCGTGTACCCCTTTCAGGCTCACCTGCTATGGTTAAGTAATCGCCTTCCGAAATCGATCTGATGGTATCGTCAAGGCTCAGGTAGAACTCGTCCTCACTCTCGGGGCATCCGGTCTGCGGTGCGTACACGGAGAGTATTGTCCAGTACCCCTCCTTCGTGTCTATCCTCACAGCCATGATCCGATCGCTGATCCTGTTCACAGCGGAGACATAGTCCTTGAGCGACTCCGCTACCGCTATGGCCACACCGTTCCGCTTGGTGTCTTCTCCATTGTAGTAGAGTTTGACACCTTCCCCGATTTCCCTGGCCTTAGCACCTTTCCATCGCGTCTCCTGAAGGCATAGGACTTGGATATTCCTGCGCGTCATCAGATCAGCAACCTCTCGGGACTTCCCAGTTAGCGATCCTACGTTCAGAGTCCCTATTCGAACTAGCTTCTTTGGCGTTCACTCCTCGGTAGCCCTCGCATACTGACCACAGAACTCGGGCGGGGTTCTGCGCGCCACTTCCGGGTGACGTCCTAGCTTTATCACTAATACTTTCGACTCACTTCACTTTCGACTTTATTACTTTACAAATACTTACTTTACAAATATTTTGTGTGACTGGGACGTTCATCAGCCGGCCTGTCAACCTGGGCCTGACGCTGGTACTAGAACCATTTTTGCAAGGCATGGTTTAGAGCCTCGGCAGGGATCGAACTCGCGGTTTTTCAGAGGTGCAGACATGAGTCTACACTCCTAACCACTCGGCCATATCTGCACATTTTCTAAAGACTCACAGCAAATCCTTAATTAACTTTTATTGTCGGACCACTAATAATATCAGGATTTTTCCAGATGAGCAATCTCCGCAGAGTGATGGTGAACGTGAAGTCCCTGCAGTCCGACTTGAAGATGGTAATCAACAACGGCAAAATACAAAACTTGGTGCTGATGTCGATTGGCAGGTGTGCTGATTTTTCGCAAAATATAATTTACGCCGTTTCTAGAAAGCAGGCCGTCTAAAGTTTCATCATTGTGACTATTCCTTTTTTTCAAGACGCCATCCCTTCCAAGGACTGTTCGGACAGCGGACAGTGGTTTTCATCAAGAAGGCGAAAACTTAGTCAATGATGATGGTGAGTGCCTGCTATGCATTTCTTTTGACTTATAGCTCACTGCACCTAGTTGCTACAGGTCTGCTGAGCCCCCGATTCACTTTCAAATCAGTTTTGTGGCTGTGGCAAAGGTAGTGTAAGTGGTGGCACCTACTGGTGCATAGTTCGGGAGTCAAATGCGGGGTTCAATGCATCCAGGCCAACCAAGCATTCCGTCCGTCTGGGGTCAGTTGATTGGTGGAAGACTCCTTCAAAATGGGTGGGAGACTCCTCCGGAAAGACAAAAGAACTGGTACTAATTTGTATGTAGCCGTATTCACGCACGTTGTATGAGCCGGATCGCGTTCACATCTCACCAAAAATGTTGGTGGAGTTAGTGTCAAACTGACCTACCAACATCGAAGGCTTCAAACTTTAATGCCCTGTTGTAGTTGTGAGAGTAACAGGTGCCAACATCGTGTCCAAAACTAACCATATTTTTGTTAGTGGAAGTTCGTGTTTTTCTTCGAAATCAAACTTAATTTTAAGAGATCCCTTCAACGTCCTCTTCTACAAATCGGGACGACTCTCCCGCTTCATCGTCAGTGGCTCAAACAAATATCGATCTCCGTAAAGGAGGAGCTCTACCCATTCAACAGTGGGCTCGGAGAAAGGTGATTTCGACAGAGATCAGTAATAGCTAAAAAAGGAACACTGCTAATGCTTTATCTTGTTTTGATAACTGCTTTTCGTCAGACAATACAAATATTGTAGTGAGGATGATGAGTGGCTAAGAAAGCAAGGTAGGTTATAAAATAGCTATGGTTGCCGTGCCTAGGCTCTCCCATTGCATTATCCAGATTCCATTCAATTTCTTTGGTTTACTTCATTGCTAGAGAAATTGAGCAATGATTTTGTAAGGTTTTGTAAAATCACGGATGGGCTGCCCATAAAGCGATAATCCAGTGTTCCGCCCAGGGCGGACATTATGCACTGAATTATTTTTTAGAATTATTCCATTTTCTGGTCCGGCAGTGGCATCACCTTCACCAGTGCTAGCCAGCACTCCTCAGCCAAGGTCTGAATGGGACTCGCCCTCGTCTTCACAACCTGTTCCTGCTTTGGAGACCTCAATTCTTGGAGACGTGACCAACGTAAGCTTTTATGAGTGATGTTACTGATATGTGTGCTTTGTAAATCATTTTAATTTTCTTAGGTAAATGATACGCCCGAATCACGCGAGCAAGTTGAAGATGCTGCTGGCCAGGTTTTGCCTCCACACGTAAAAGAACCTCAACCGGTTAACCGTCATGTTCAAAGCAGTGCAGCACCTCATCCTCAACACGATCAGGTTTTAATGCACGCTTTACTTTGATAAGAAGTATGCTCTTGTAATTGGCGAGTATTTCCGCTATAAACTCGCTTCCTGTTAGCGTACGTTTATTATTTCATTAATACGGAGCAGGGTTTTATGGCCCGTAACATTTTAGCATTGACGGTCATCTTTTACTAGGAGAAAATTCCGATGGTCAATCACTTCTATGTTCATAAAAATATGGAAAACTCATGTTGTTTTGTTTAGACGAGGAAGGACAGCAATACCAAAAGTTCAGCAGCAACGAAGTCCACAGTGCCCCCTTCACATGGAGCTTTTCATCCCGAAATGAACCGCATTGGCCGAGACATGCCACAATACACTGATGTTGAAAGGAAGTTGGTGGAGCAGTTGCGAAACGCCATTGCTCATCTCGATCTCGCTGATATGGAGCAACAAATGAGGGCCAAGGAAGTTGGTTGTTTTTACTAAAATTGAGATTTTTCCGTTATTTCTCTCAGAGTGAGGTGTTTCTTTTTCTGTGGAAACCAATTTTAAAATTAAAGGAATCTTCCACGGAAAGACTGCTTATCCTTTCCTTGTGTACAGGTGTTGGGCATGGTCATTGAAGACCATATGCAAAGTTCAGAGCGAAAATGATGAAACCCCCAAGAGAAACAGCCCTTGGAAAGACCC